TTAGAGGAGCTACGATTAAACGGCTTAAAACGCTAAGCCGGAAATTTACATCGCGCGGCCAGCGGCCGCCTGTCTGTCGCGGATAGTCCACCACCGCTGCGGCCGGAAGAAAGTGGCACGAGCAAGTGCTGCGTTATCGATACGCAGCATCGAGAGCGAAACACCGCGCACTATTAATCCTAAGGACGCGAAACGATTATTCATTAATATTACATTACGTCAGTGATCTTATTATACTTGTTATTACAGTCACGTGATTACGTTTCTGACATAGTTTCTCCGAGAAATTACTCCGTCGGAGCGATCTACACGGCACTCGAACACGGTTTAATGTAGTTTTTAATTTAATTATGCCTCTTCTCGACGACGACCAATCGCGGTCCTAATGTTCAACGTGCACGAAAAGGAGGAAATAATAATTATCGATAAGCAAGCCCGAAGCCGAGGCTTCGGGTCGTTAATCATTTCTGCGCGTGTAAATTAATTCCGGGACGATAATTATGCATTTATGCGAGCACGCGCAAATTACAATCACGTTCCTGAGGCATAATGCACATGATTCAGGTCATTGCGTCCTACTCACCAATTATAATGCGCTTATATATCGAGTATATTTAGGCGTTCCTTCATACTTGCCGTAGAAATGCATATGCACACGGGAAACCTGATTTGCATACGATACATAATGCAACTCTAACAACGCACGCGTAGATTGATAAATTAAGATTTCTCTAACAATCAACAGTCACGTTTCATCGTTCCCACTAGATAGACATACAGGGTGCCCAGCAAATCATGCTACATTCGACGAAAAGAATTTATTTCTCATGGGAAAAAATCAAGTGAAAAATTATAGAATAAACTTGTCTTATTGATCGCGTAGCTCTCTCTCTCTCTCTCTCTCCCTCTCGGAGAATGATTTTGAATATAAAAAGGGTGGTCGTGTCTATCTACTGATGTTTTCACGCGATTGTAACATTTTTTATGTACTATTTTGAATGAAATTTGTTTCTATGATATTACATATTTACTGTACCAAATATTAATAGTACTGTTACTTTCCGTCGATCGTTAAACATACCACAATACAATGATTAAGAGTACCGATGTTTTAATTATAGCATAATTGTAACAAAAAATTTCAGCCGATAATTTCGATATATTTGTGATTTATCGAACACTCTGTGTATAAAAGTGTCCACGTAAGTGTAAGTTTGTCCCGCAAATGTTCGCGTGATAATTTCTTCTCGTGTGGAATATTTTTTCCGGCGAAACTAACGCGACGAGCATCCGATAAAATTTATTCAGTAATACGTATTCGACGAAACTTCGCGAAAAAAACACTTAAACGCGATTTTATCAATTAATGGGATTTTAATCTCGACGCGATAGGACGATGACCGACGCGCCACCCTGTTCGTTTCAATCGTGCAATTTTCGGAAAAATATTGGAGGCTCGGGTTAGTACTCCTCCCCAAAACCTGTCGATGCAAACCGATATATTCCCATTAACGCAATTATCCTCCGTTCAGCTGCTACCAACCTACCGGTTGTCCACGTTATGACGGGGCATTGGAATCCATTAATACGGCTTCGGTCGCGCGCAGGTTCATTATCGTGCATTAATTAGCAACACCCTATATCACTATGCCGGCAATACTATCGGTTCGGCTTGCTATTTCGTGGCTAACCACCGGCTCGTGACGTTCTGACCGCAGTTGGCTTGATCCGATAAAAGACGACGGTTTGTTTACTACAGTAAACAAGTTACAAGCACAGCACATAGTTCGTTAGACTTTCTTGCCACCGATATGTACTAGATGTTACCGAATTGTCTCCGACTCCGCCGTGAAGAGTACAATTTTTCTTGCAGAATAAAATGTTTCGACGAATCGAAATTTGTCGCCTTTTCATCACCGAGACGCTCGCTACCGGGTGTTGAAATGTCACGACGAATGATGTGTCAGTGTCTTAAGGATTCCGTTAATTCGCGGGGAAAAACGATCATCCGCATGATAAATAATTACACGCGCATCGGTTAGGAACGACTGATATTTCGGGCGGCAAAGATTGCGGCAGACGATCCATCCCGTCTATATTGCGATTCGCGAAACGGCGCTCTCTCTCTCCTCATCAACCGCCGGCGCCAATATTTCGGGCGGCCGAGTACCTTTTACGTCCGCTATTGGAATCCGGATGTGGCCGGCTACCGAGCAGCCGGCAGTTCGAAACGAGCAACGCGAAACTTTCGTTTCCGCTCAATCGTCAATTCCGCCCCGACAAACGAGAAATGATTCGGCTACCATAGCAGGATCGCAATTTCGGGGGAAAAGGGCTGTACTATAGCCGCGTACATGGCGTATAGCGATTGCGAGCTCAGCGGGAGCTCGTGTTTCAGGCTTCCGGGGCTAACATTAACCGAGTCCACAATTAGTAAGATCCATAGCAAACATGAAATTGTGTCGAGTCAACGGACACGATCTACACTAAATGCGAACGTTTCGTTCTAAAGAGATTACTATTTCTTTCCTTCTTCTTCGTTGGCGAGCATTCTTGAGGAAAGCGCGTGAGAGAGGAAATACGACTGAAAGCGAAAAAACTGTTGCGTGGAATGGAAACGGGAGAGAAGACAAGAAACGACGAAGGAAAAGGGAGAAAGTGACGGCACAGAGGAGCGAGAAGCGAGCAGGGACGACGCGCGCGAAAAGAGGTACCAGCAGGGAGGACGAGAGGAGCGCGACCAGAATTGGATAGGATAGGCGAACTGGTGATTACAGAGGCCAGGGATTCCCCGGGGAGAAGCGCCGGTCTCCCGCGGGCTTCCACCTAATTCCATCCTGGCTGACTACTGACTCTATCTTCCTCTCTATCGGTCTACCTCGTTCACCTATTGCTTCTCTTTCCGTCTCTAACCGTTCACTTCTGTTGACGTCCTTCTCTCTCTCTCTCTCTCTCTCTCGCTTCCTCTTTCTTTCTACGTCCCTTTCTCTCTCTTTCCTTTTCGCTACATGTTGGAGCAACACTCCGTCCTGCTTTCGCCGTCGATCAGCCCTCAAACCACTTCTCTCTCTCTCTCTCTCTTTCACTCGTGCCCGCCCTCTTCGTCGTTTCTCTTTCTGCGTTCATTTGTCTCGCTCTGTATTTCTCGCGGCTTCTCTGTTTATTCCGCACTTATGATTCGCCCTCCTCCTGCGCCACCATTTTCCCTCTCCGTCTTTTTCGCTCTCTCCCATCCGACCCTTCATATCTCTCCCTCCACCTTCTACTTTATGTGGCAACTGTATTTCGGTTATCCGGTTGCTTTCAACCTGCTGCAACACCCTCGAGCGCGCGCTGGAGCCGCCCGACAGTTTTCGCCGTTCCATCTGTCTCCGTTCTTCGCTCTATTCACCGCGATGGATTGACTCACGAGTATACACGATAATTGATATCATTAACTAGAGAATTGACAAATTCGAAGTGCACTCGTGGAATTGAACGATTAATTAAACATTGCGAGGATTCGAACCAAGCCAGTGACTTGAGAAATTACTCGCGTTTCTTTAGACGTGTAATGAGATCGTTCACTTCTTACATCCAATTCCGTCACTCTGCGCGGTAGCGTTGTTACATCAACAATTTACTAGTGAGACTGATTCATTTCTTAATACACTTGTAATTGCATATATTTGAGAACGAATCTTCCGATTTACGTACTTCCAAAAATCAGTAGGCCGCGAATATCGTGTTTAAATCAATGATAGATATTCTCACACATAAGCAAGAATATTATAATCTTTTTAGAAGATTTTTAGTCTTGATTTGAATAAATTTGTATTGATGCAAATGTTACTCGCACTCAATTCAGGACTAAAAATCTCCTAAGAATATTATAATATTCTTACTTATATATGAGAATATCTATCATTAATTTATGTATAAAACTAACTTTTTCTGTATACGAACGCGAAATTATACAGATGTCGGAGAAAGTCATCGAACAAAATGGCGCGCATACTTAATTGATTGATTGTGTTTTAAAACAAATAAATGTTACGTGTGTATATTTTGATTAAAAAACGGGACGAACTTTTGCATCAACCCAATATTTACTTTCACGTACGAGGTAAATACGATGTTACGATGCGCAAAAAGTATTCAAAGTCCTGAAATTTAAAAAATTCCGACCTTACTTGCACAATCGAGTCGTTTTTAATTACTATAACCGTACTGTGCATTATGGTACGCAGCTGCTGCAACACAATGGTGGCACTCGTATCGTACGTTACTTTTACGCTGCACGTTCGCACGTGTCGGGAAGTTTCGCAAAGCACCCTTTTAGCCCGACTTCTTTTTCGCCCCCGCACACTCACACCTGCACGAACACCTTGCGGAGAACTTCGCTATTATTCGCTTGTCTTTGCGACACAAACGCGAGCACGTCGACCTTAATCTCGTAAACGTCGTCGTCACCTAGGGACGGCAAATCTTCATATTTGTCTCATTCTGATCCCTTTTTTCGCGCGTTTATTGCGCGCGAGTCTCACTTCTTCCCGTCTTGGTTCGCGCAATGAATCAAGGAGATTCGTCCACCGCGAATTAAAGCGACTGTAAATGTTACTTTACGGAAATCAAGCGTGTCAACGCGCTCAGATTTGTTTCAATTTACTCGAACTTGTGGAAGCTCGGAATATCCCATCAACACAACTAAACACCTATATATCGTTTTTATACGATATATTTACTACTGAAAGCGTATAAGAAAGAAAAAAGATACCGGCGAAGGTCAGTCAACAACAAACCAGCTAAAGACTTACTAGTGGGATATTCTCTGGTAACTGAATAACCTAAAAAAACGACCAATCTGCATAATAAATTACGTAAATCCGCTGAGATCAGCCGCGGCTATTATTGACATTATCGTCTTTCATTCGTGTCTGCCTATCGTCGGTGAATCGCGCAAAAATATTGGTGAGCCGTGTCGAGCAATTCGGACGATAATGCGAGTAATGGCTACTTACGTTTGAGAGATCGAGGCTTCGCCTGCTTCCTCCTGGACATATCACCGCACTGGCACGCACTTGAACGTGGACGGGGGAATCAATAGCGGCTCGCCGGCATATCGTATTGGGGACGCGAATTTCAGCTATCTATTAACCCGCACGACTCACGACGAGGTTTCATGTTCGGACATGTTCTTTTCGCGCGTGAAGTTGGCCGCGCGACGGTCGATCGAGAATCGAACACGCGCGCGACCCAACGCGCGCGAATACCACGTGGTCTGCGCGCACGAAGGGCGTATGTGAGCGCGCCTCGAACCCGGCGGACAGACGCGCTCGGAAGACGCGCGACGAATGATATGAGGTTGGTGCGTCGTGCCCGCGGAGAACCACTGGCAAGGAGTTGCGCAAGCGTGTTATTCGGCCGGCGACACTTGCCACCCACTTTTTGCTTTCCGCGAACGTATACAATGTTTTTTCGCCGATCGAGAAATAAACGCGTGGCCCGGCAAATATTTTGGGAAAATCGCGCGCACCATCTTCGCCTCCTCCCGAGAACGTTTTCTCCAACTAGTTAGCTTATTTACCGAACGCTTTAACGAGTGAATATTAAGTAAATGCGACTAATTATTTTTGCGCGCGTGAAACATCGTCGTGAAATTGTTGCGAGTGTGAAGGAACTGACAGGGAATTATGAATGTTATTCGCGTTTTATAAATAATTGCGTGAAATATAAATATTTATGGGACATGCGAGTCCGCGTGTGCTTGTGTGTGTATAAGTACAGTATATAATACAGATTCCTACTTTATCGTTGACTCCGAGATAATACACCGACAGAACAGAAATGACAGTAGTACAGAAAATATTTCTGGTTACTCTGTCAATGAGCGCACGGGATACGTTTTATCGTTGATTTATCACAGTATTAATCTATCATATAGCGCTTAGTGCACAGTGTACGAGCAATTTTATCTCGGACGTTCGTATGCATGACATTTTGCCATCCACTGACATTATCGTCACACGTAAGTTTACGTTTTCGTTCGTCGTTGTTTGTTTCCTTTGTTAAGGTTAGGATGCTATCAATATTAAATCGCAACTCTTAAAAAGAAATACTATGGATAAAAGCGAAAAAAGTATTTTAGATTCTAGCTCTAACGACTTGTCAATATTTTATGTTACGTCGAATAAGCGCGGAGTTTTCACGGTTTTATCGATCTAATTATCAATTGTTTGCCGATCGCTTGTTTCTTCATTTTATATCGTTGAGAGATTCATCATGCATAATGTTGTTTGCAGAAAATGATGCCATTGGATCGTATCCCTGATCAAACCGGATACTTGGTGTTAACAGAGGACGGTGCTGTCTTAACGGTATGAAACGAGTCGTGATTATATTATAGTCGTGATTAGATAGATAGACAAATGCTGAACATAGTATGCAAACATGCACTGAACGTATACTTTGTGATACCTTGCAACAGCATACATATTTGAAATATGCTTGTTTTGAGAAATACTCATTTATTATACTATAATTTTAATCAAAGTATTAATTTCTTATTATTATAATTCTGGATTAATTAAGTTCTCTTTCGGGCAAAACGAGCAACGATATATTTATGGTATCAGAATATCACTGCAATTTTTGCAGTATCAGAGATGATCTCTTATATATTAACAAAATGCTTGTATGAGAACGTATTTTAATGTACTTATGCTAGTCATGATGCAAACAATATACCAAAATATGTCTATCTGAGATGTCTCTTTGATTTACAAAACAAAATGTGTTTATCATTGCAGTCCGGAGGAGACCTTGAAAATGACGAGAGGGTGGCGAATATCATTGTCGGCTTGGTTACTCTAACCAATGGAATTGATCCCAAAGCTTTCCCCGCGCCCGAGGCCTTTGAAAAAATATCAATCACGTATAAGGATCATTGCTATGTCATATGTCTCTCTAATAAAAAGATTCATGTAGTAAAGAGGAAACTGCCACTGCCGACTGCAGCAATTATCGAGCAACAATCTATCGTCGATGTTTAGATCAATGCTTAATGCACAAGAAAAAAGAAGTTTATCCTTCGTAAATTTCAATATCTGAAACGAATTCAATTTCTTCAATCGTTCTGAGAGATTTATCTACTGTTATATATCTACATAGAAATATATGTCACTCTCTAAGGATTAAGTTAGCGCTATGTACTATATAGCTGTAGGGACAGTTATGTACCTTTGTTATGTGATGTAATGGCTTCTTTCAATGATTAGAAAAAAGAAACTCTTCCAACGTGTAACCTAATGAAAAGTATATGACTATGATCACACGTGAAATATATTTTTCATCAAAATCTACGTTTTGCAGATCCCTATGTGTATTGTTTTTTGTATATTGTAAGTTGAAGATACTGGCGTCATTATTCTAATTAATTTTATTCTCAATAACATATCAACACGCAAATAATTATGTACAGGTCGCTTGATAGATGTAGGAAATATTAAGTATCACTATCGGTGCTAGAACTGTCATAATTCACTAAAGATGTGTTCGAACTACTGGCTTTCGAAGTAGTCGCGTTATCTGCGATTTCTTGCATTTTTGACGATTCCTGACTTTGAAGCTTTAATCTGTCATTTGCAGATATCTTCTTTGAATTATTCTTCGATCGTACAATCGATACCAATTGTTTCAGTCTTGTACCTTCCTTCTTCTTTGTGCCTAAAAAAATAAAAAAACATTAATTTATAGTAATAGATAATGCCCATTTAAGCTTGTTTAAGCGTTAAATAACATACTATACCTCTCTTATGAATAAGTAATTTAGCTAATTTGATGTCATCTTCATGTTCTTGGACTAAATCGATATCCAATCCCGTCTTTTTTAACAATGCGCAATCTACAGATTGTTTTCTTTTGAGGTCCTTCTTCTTTTCCTGCAACATGAAAGACAATAATAAGAAAAAGAAAATCCATATTTATTTTTAGTACATTAATGAAATATCCTAATTGAGAATAAATGACAATTATATTATTAAAAACCAAGTCCATACTCGAAATAATGCTCTTAGTGCACAGTTGGAGCTGTAATCATCTTTCCAAATGCTGTCGTTCACAGCTATCGCACTTTCCAATGCAGTGTCTCGAGACTTAGCTACTTTCTTATCTTCCAAACCATGCTCCAACTTGTACATTGCATCATCATATAATCTACATGATACTTCTTTTGTCTCAGGCACAACCTGTTCATTGTCTTTAGGATCCCATCGGTTTTCTTGACGCCTTGCACCACTCACTATGACATAGTCTAAATTCTGAAACATTAAGATATTTTATAGCAAATATCACGGAAGCAATGTTATTCTATATATTCAATGTTATCACTTACTCCAGGATCAGTTTTTATCTCAAAGTGATTGTCACAGAGATGACACTTCATACGAAACTGGTAAACTGGTGTGCTGTAGTACATTCCAATCTTCTTTTTTTCTGCATTATACCTGACACCCATGCCAATATGATTTCCACATCCATCACACCATATATTATAGGGCATCTCAAATCTTATGATTAAGATGCCCATATGGAGCTTACGGGCTCGCTCACGTAATGCATGAGTACCCAGGAACTTGTTGAGGCCACCGACACGAGGATCATAGTCCGGTGGATAGTACAAATTCGTTCCTTTTCTTTCTCCCATTGTGCTGTAATTTATTTATTGATGCATGAAAAGGAGAAAGAAAATTGACAAAATTTTCTCATTATCCAATGCGAATAAATGTCACTGTACCTTGATGCTCTTTTGAACTTCAGGAGAAAATAAACACTTTCACGTCAAGATTCCCTTGACACAATTCTTCGTGCGATTAAATTGCGGATCTGTCTGATGTTTGTTTAGGTTAGGATGCAACATATGACTATTTTTTATATGATTAAACAATAATAACACCCGGTGTGTTGTTTGAAACTAATTATTTATATAATATGGTATACCGTCCAAAAGTAGATAATTACACATGTTAATCGTCTGATATTACGTCTTATAATCACAAAGTAATTCTAACCAATTATTAATGTTAATACCGTTTTTGACCTTATCCCTAGAAGATGACACACGTACATATGCAAGTAGAAAAGATAGGCACGGGCGACATCTAGTCACGATTTATAAAGTTCGGCTGACTCATCGTTGACCAGCATCATTTGAAAATAAAGTTTCGTCTGATATGTCGTTGATGCGTACTACTATCCCATCTTTCAGTGGAAACAGTGGCGACTCGTAGCTGAGGTTCTGGTACTAATAATGATGGAATTACCGAACCAGGTAAAATGTGATTAACGTACCGCCAGAGTTATTATTTCACACGCTCACCGATAATTATCAAGCGCAAAATTAATTTTAGTAAGTGATACTTATATAAATATATAAGCGACATATAAATCATAATTTCGTCAAATAATTCTTATTATCACGAGAATGACATATATTTTCTCTTACAGATACGTGTGAACACACTAAACGAATCACGTTTAACCGCAAACCTATCGGGAACACTCAAGTTCAAATTGATCCAACAAACAGCTTTTCACAGTGTCGGATTATTTCTTCGTTGGAAAGCAAACGCCGAAAAAAGGCCGACGGACTACTCGATACCATCTTGAGATGTCGTGAAGAAACTCTTAACCTGGTAGTTTAAATCTCAACGACGGGTGAAACGACGCTTTTATTTTCAAAAGTGCGACCCAACAATAGGTAAAAGTACCCTTTTTTTTTTAAATAGCACAATCTAACGATAGGTCAAAAGATCCTTTTATTTGGTAATAATAAAATTCAACAATGGGTCAAGGAACTTCATATTTTTAAATAGTACGACTCAATGGCGGCGGGTCAAAAGACTCTTTTATCTTTCAAGTTATACGACTTAACAACAAGTCAGATGTACTTTTGTTCTTCAGTAACATCTCATGTAGGATCGAATATACTTTCGTCTTTATTAAATAACGAGAAATAAAAGTTCCTCTGACTTGACATTGAATTACACTGCTGAAAAGTGAAAATCCGAGAAGAACAAGTTTCAAATAAGGACAGTAATTAAGATTTTACATCTATTTATTTAAAGAGACTAACATATAGATAATACTAAGCCCTTCTCTTAATGGCTGCAAGTCCTTCACAGGCCACATACTATGACCTTCGTTTTGGACTTACGTTTTTGTCCGTCACGATCGAAATGGACGAACGAAAAAATATAACAACGAGAGTCTTTATCACAAATTAAATTATAGCATATATGTTCGCAGTAATTATCCTACGTAATAGCAAGAAATTATTTATCGTTGTGTAGTTTGATTTGGGTTTCACGAGTATCTCGGAATTGCTTACAGAAGTCATGTAGTGATTCTGTCAGCAAGCTGAAATATGTACAAGGTGTCCTAAATTGTAAAATAGGAGTCTTCTTTCTATTCATTGGAGAAGATAGACTTTCAAGAAATTTCTTTCCGGGCAGTTATAACTCTGTGACACAAATGCGTTTCAATGGTATGCGGATATATTCCTCGAATTCCGGCTGTCCTCTCCACTTTCAAACGTTCGATCTCTTATTAGTCTCGATTCGCCGGCTGTCGTCTCCACTTTCAAACGTTCGATCTCTTATTAGTCTCGATTCGCCGGCTCTGTATAACGTAATTGTCCGCGATTGTCCGCACCAGAAGTCCTTACCGTCCGTAATAAGGATACGGCAATCTGTACTTGTACTTGCTCGAGTGTGGATAGTACGCGAACGCGTAGATTACTGTAACAGAAAAAGCGTGCATACACATATTAAAGTTCATGTTAACATTTCTCGGAACATACGACGGATATAAGAAAAAAATAAAAAGAAAGAACATTGCAGGATTTCTTACTCTCTTAAGTTGAATCGATGAAATGTCACTAATTGAATCAGTGAAACAGTATTCCACCAATAATCAATATTCTACCAATCACCCTTCACTATTCTACAAATATTCAAACTAATTTTTAATGGAAATTCTTCCACTTAGCTTCTTTATTTAATATTTTACTGATTTTGGCCAGAGAAATATTCACTGCAAATCACTGTTACCTGTCCGTAGCAGAAATACATATATGCATTGAATCATCTGTCGTGTTTGGTGTAATTCGTATAGAGAGATTTCGAGTTTGAGTCTCATCAGAATAAGCATGTTTTTCAAGTACGATATATATTAAATCAATTGAATATAATTAAGAATATTTCAGTAAATCATTGATAATATCTCAAAAGTGGGATTAAGATAATAAAGAAGAAGTAAGAAATAATATATTTTTAAATTATTTTTGCAGTTAGATTTTTCTGACGGAAACAGTCGCTACTATCAACAAATGTTTGCAGAGGAATTTTACTGAATTGCAGCGTTACACTTATAACTATGATCACTATTGACTGTTTCTCAGTGATAATACACCGATTGCACTTTAGAGAGTAAATTTTGTTTCGGACAAACGATCTCTCGCACATTGGAATGAAATGTAAACATTTCTGTAAGTGTTTGGAAATACATACTCTCGATACAGGATTACAAATATTATTCCAATTATTGCATAATTTGCGCAAATAATTTCGCCCGCGAACAGTTGGAACGTATGAAGCCTCCGTGACGCGTCTTTTTACCTCACCTGTTCACCTATCGGATATTCGACAAATGTCCTACACAGTCCGAGGAAATCCATCTCATAATAAATATCGCTAGATTTTCGAGAAGCTCCGCTTCCTTTCTCTCTTTTTAGACACACGCCTGCCGGCGCGTTACCTGCTTCGACGTTACAGCCGATGGGGCCTCGTCGACGACGAGTAACGCGCATGTCTGCGGGCGAACATCCGCCTCTGCGGGACGTTCCTCTTACGAAAGGAGTTTAGCGTGCCGAGCGAGCTTGGACTCTGCCAATAGTCCGGCAACGGGTTTAAGAGGGGTATCCTCAGCGGACCGTCCAAACTGTTGTGAAGATTCGCGAACTGCGGCTGCCCGTGAAAATCCACGTGCGGTTGTAGTTTGGGCAAGCCCAGCAGGGGCAAGTGCGGCTCGGTGTCCACGGTGAGACTCGCGTACACCGACGTGCCGTCATGGAGCGGTAACTCGGGCGGCAGGGCTCCGTGCAGACCACCACCGTGTGGGTAATCGAGTTCTGACAGATGCAGCGGTGGGTACTCCAGGCTCTGCTGTATAGGCAGACGGTTCGGGAAATGATGCGACGGTGGCGCCGCTGCTGGGTGATGATGGTAAACGTTCTCTTGATCGACTACAGGGTAACTGTCGTGCACCGGCTTGTCGTGATGCGAGGAATAATGTTCGGCCGCTCCATAGGTCGGTGCTGGATGCGCGATGGGAGCGTTCACGTTGTTATCGTCTTGGTCGCCGATGGCTTGGCCGCCGCTGCCGTTCGGCACGTTGATCAAGAAGTCTTTGATCGTCGGGCCGCCGAAGCTCTCCTCTAACTTCGTGAGGTCCGGCTTCGCCTCCGCTACGTTCGCGTGCTGGTCGCTCTCCGGGTCAGATTTCGTCGGCGCCACGATCAGCAAGCCGCCCTGATTGTTGTCTGTGAACGTGACGTCTGTCAGTCTACCGTATGAGTCTACCGTGAGTTGATTCGCTGTGCTTGGGTGTTAAGTTTGCATTTTTGTTACGGTACGTTAGTCAAGTTTGAGGGCGGATGTGGCATATGTACTGTCGAGACTGATTAGCACGTTTTTACGAGTGCGCCGAATGTACCACGACTTGTGTCGAGCAGGTGCGAAATAACGTGACCACATTCAGTAATCAACGGACACTTACACAGATTCGCAGGCAATTGTTGCAGGGTCCGTCACGTAGTGAAAAAAAACAGTGCGCTCTCTGCGTCCGATTGAGTTCCAGAGGTGTACTCTTTTTTTTTAAGGATAGACACCGGTATATGGGGAACGTGAAATCATTTTTTATCTTGCACACATACTTATAGATAATAGACTGGAATATTTTTTTATTGTCTTTCTACAGACAGGACGATTTATCCCGAGCATCGTTTGTTGTTTTTTTTTACCTGAAGAATAAAAATATCAGGAGTGATATTTTCGTGCGTTGAAATACAGAGTAATTTGGACGCGTTACGTATGCCATGTTGGTGTCGAGCAATGCAAAATTCCGAGGAATCGAGGGAGTATGCCAGAAAACGGGTCTTCACCCGGGACTTTCGGAGAAAGTGAAAGGCGGGGAAGGGTTTGGTGCTTGGACGTACAGGTGTGCAAAATTGGCCAACGTGTTCGAAGGAGCCTGCCGGAAAGAGGACGTCGACATTCACCGCGATATGAAAAGGGAAATTCGCATTTCTCTGCTGAGAGTTCTGCAAACGACAGTCGAAATTCTGCAATATCGCGCAAGGGTCAGGGCGAAGCACCCGGAGCCGAAATTTATTCGTGAAAGCGATACCCGACAACTTGATCGACATACTGCGTTATGAACTGTATACTTTTCTCAGTAAGCCTTTTGAACTAATTAAGGAAATAAATTCCACATTTAATGTTTCTGGAACTCGAGGAGAAAGTGATGACTTTAATTATCGTTCTTTTCTCAGCGGAGGAAAACCTTCCTCTTCGAATCTTTGACGAATCTACGGAAATATCGAACGAAAACACACCCGTCGAATTCATTAAACGCCCTCATCAATGCGTAATTACCATCTCTAGTTGTCGGCGCTTTAGAAAGGTACCAAGACGTAGAAACGATCTAGAAACTTCGTGGTATTACAACTACACTTACGAAGATGAAACCTACCATCTGATGGCACGCTATACGCCGAGTGCGGAGGATAATCGTTCGCTTCGGAATATCCATCAGGCCCCGGCGGTGGTCCTTGATAATTAGGATCGTGTCCTGCCGTTAAACAAAAAATATTTAATAAAATACGACCAGATAAACGCGCGGAAACAATCGATTTGTTTAACCTTTCGATTTGATGTGTTTGAAGAATTATAATGAAGAAAAATGCATGATCTAAGAGTTCTCCCCATTCCCGAAAAATCATTAGAGTCGTTCTATCCGTTAGACGTGGTGCGAATCTGATAAGTCGATTAATGTGTGTTTAGGAGCCAACCTGAATTTGGTAAAGTCAGTTAAACCGATCGGTGTATAATTTGATGTCACAAATGAAGTGGTTTTTTTGGTGAAAATTTGTGTGCGAACGTTGTGATTATGTGTATTTTTTTTTGAAAATGATAAATAACAGTGTTACCGTTTCGCAAATAAAATATTTTTGATACTTTCACAACAAAAATATTTTTTCCCCCATGAAAACATCTATTTTGGAAATATATTCTTTTCAATGGTTCAACAAAAATATCTTTTTTCGGACGTACACTAGAGTCATATTTTTTCTGTTATAACTATCTTTCAACTTTGTTATCCTACTGTTGCAGATCAAAATAATAAAAAAAATTCTGATTTTTAAGTAAAACTATCATTAACTACCATAAAACTACCAGAGACTACTGTCCAAATTCGAATTTTTTCAGTAACTTAAAATTTGATTTTCCATAAATGTACGATCAAATATTAAAGTAGAAAAATTATACTTTATTTTATCAACCTTTTTCCTTTTATAGTTTTTTCAATATGAAATTTAGAAAATCGCAAATGTTCAGCATGACTCTGTTTGCGGGCGCGAGCGATTTTTCAGAAATATGCGGTTGAAGGGTTAATTCGACGATCGATGCGTAAACGCGTAACGATACCGAGAACTTCGTAATGCATGTCAATGAATACGTCCCATCGTTGAACGTGATTTGTTTGAATCTTCTCGAATGGTCTTAACGTTGGATTATTATCACTTTTTAAATGAATCGGAGAAAAGCGAATAACACTCTGTTGTACGACTCGTAATTATCGGCGAAGTATCCGGATTTGCAGATAATCAGTTGATTCGTAGTCACTAAAACGGCTTTCTACGCTCCATCATTTCTAGGTATGGAATTACGTCTCTGATTGATTTCCACGACTGATTGATTGGTTAAGCGCGGCATAGGTCGGCGAACGCGCAAGTAGAAAGCAGATGCGTCGGGTTTTTAGCGCCATACACGTGTGTTACACTTGCGACTGTTACGGATTTATTCTGGTTTCTCCTTTTTTCCATTTATTTCGAAAGAACGAAATTCTTTAAATCTATCATGTGAAATTATCTCGGGTCGAACGAGATGCAATTGCAGCTCTCTCTTTGTGTACTATTAAAATTAAAATAAAAAGAAACACCGAACGTGATATCCTCTATGATTGATGAATCATGAGAAAATTCGATGGGATATCCGAATTTTGACCCAGAGTTACACCATTGTGGTGAAAAAATAAGATTTTTAAACTAAAAGAATTATAATGTGAATTTATATAGATTTTACACATAAACCGGCATAATGAAAATAATTTCTTAATTGAAGAAATAAGTGAATTTTCTCTTGGCTCCTTGAGAGCCACTCAAGACAGAGTGAAAGTTATGAAATCTCAATCCTTACAAGTATAGCTGAAACTTGCGGAAAAAGAAGCTGAAAAACTACAATTATGTTTGACAGAGCATGATAACACACCGAGGATTAATCGGATAATATCACGCAATCTTCACAATCGTCGCTCTCACCTAAGTCTTGAGCCGGCGGATGTTGCTCGTACGTGTAAGTATCCGGCGGATAGGACGCTGGATAGGTTGACACACTACTCGTCAGATGTTTACCAAAGGACGTGATCACGTCCCCTGTTTTACTGATAACTTTGCCCTTCGCCGCGAGCAAATAACCACCGCCTTTGACCAGCTGTCCTTTCAGAGCCAGCACGCCGCCGCTTATCGCCTTGAGAGCTTGAAACACTGTGCTAAAAATCGTCTTCTTGAAGTCCCAAGCACCGAAGGGCTTCTCGTCGTACTGGAGAAGTAATGCGACTGAGATGTTACAGCGTCTCTACCTACATCTTATTGCGTAAGGAGACGCATGAAGGATCGAGATCTGTATGTCTCATTCGACGACATACCTTTCGTTTTCTATGCAACGTAACGAAATTTCTAGCCACCGGGCGCTATTACCGTTCCAACGCCCGATACCGTAATTTCCACTTTGAAACACATCAGAGCTACTGTGATTACTTCAAAACGAAAGACATATCGCGACGATATAACCATGATTAGAGGTAAGAAATTACAGAGCAGCCGACGGCGACCGAAGAACTGGTTAAACTCTCCCTCCTTTGTGACAACTTCGGCGACCTACATTGTGTTTCTCCGGCGCACTTAATTTTCCACCGGCAAGACAGGATTCTCCGCACGAGAGAACCCGTTCAACTTAAGCATAAGGGTGAAAGAGTTGCATCTACGCTCGTTTGTTTCTTTCCGTTTCTATTATTATTTGCGTATGCCCCGATTTTTATAATCAGAAAGAGGGAAAGAGAGAGGAGGAATCTATCTACCGGAATAATTGCGCTGCGATGAGCGTCACATTACCGAATAGGCCGGAGGTGGGCCGTAAGCCGGTTGGCCGTAATCGTGTTGACTGCTGCCCGCGGACGCTTTCGCCGCGGAACCGCTCGACGCGCTCGCGACACCGCTGAGCACGCCGCCCGCTATGCTGGTGATGAGACTGGCGGAGCCGGCGTCGAAACCGCGCTTTATTCTCTCCTGCATCATCGTGGCGTACTTGGGATCGGCGATTAAGTCGGCGATCATTATTTGCTTCTTGTCGTCTGTCCGCTTCGCCGCGTCGTCCGTTTGCTCGGGCAGAATCTCGAGAATCTCCCACGGCGCAGCCTGGTCGAGCTTCCTCTCCTTTGAATCGTCTTCATTCATCGGCGGCCTCCACGCATCCAGCAGGTTCGCGAGATCGAGCGCCTCTTGATCGGCCCTTCTTCGATACGGCGCCAATCGCTCGAGCTGTTCCGACGCCCTCTTCAGTAACTCCTCATCGGTATCCGATCGTGCGGCGATTATCGAGCAACACGTCACTATCAAGAGTTCCGTCACCTGAAATATACGACGAGTAGGAGAAAATTATATATCGTGCTTGTCGAGTTCTTCGAGTATGGCTTGACGATAAGTGTGTGAGCTTCCGTCACGCGAAGGGGAATCTTAAAGCGTTATCTATGAGCACGAGTTATTAGGTTGATGTAAAAATCGTTTTTTAATCAGTTCTTCGCTCAGAAATCGCAAAACTTGTACGAGCGCGGAATTATACAACTACCGGAGAAATGAGTAGAAATTTAAAACGGGGACTGAAAAGGCCTTATATAATTTTTGCCTATCTAGCAAGCCCTTACACTTGTATAAATTAAAACCAGATTTGTAAATGTAACTTATTTTGATACGTCCGACTAGACCATATCTTGTTATGCTGTTTATAAGAAAATTCAAATGCGAACTTATGGTTTGTGTTAAATTTTTTTATTTAAACACTATTTTTGACAACTAAAATCAAAGTTTGTTAACTTGGTCTTATTTATTATAATGAATTTCGCTTAAAAATTTCACAAAAAACAAACTATTATAATGAATTTCTTTACAACTTTATTTTAAACTATTTCAGGAATTGGTTAACTAAGCCCTGACTTGTGAGCACAGACCTTTTTAAGAGCGTCGACGTTAATGCTTATTCAGAGCCTATTCACAAGATTCCATTAAGAATTTGCTTTTTTTTGCCATATCTAGACCCAACGAAGGCAGCAGGCCTGTTTTGAGGTATGCCTACCTAAGGACTCACGCCCTGATTAATTTATACCTGAGTCATCGCCAGTTTAATTGATTGATTGTAAATAATTAAAATAAATAAATAAATGTTATATCTAAATTTTGGTTAAATATATTAATAATTTGATTATTGTTAATAATCGCAGTAAGAGAAAGACAATCGCAAATGACGATAACTATGAGTTAGCGACGTGTGGTCGCGTTTCGTAACAGATTAGGAAAGTCTTTCCCTCGGGATCGTTAAACGTCGTCATTGAGACGGCTCATTTCTAAGGACGTATGTGGATACCCGAAGCGCCTCAACGCGAACGTAGCGCAAGTAGAGCGATTCTGGGTGAAAGTCACGCGACCGCCGGCGGTTCGAACACTGCCTGCTACACATGAGTCGCTATACATGACTTGAGGTAAAAACGACGATCTCGCCGGCGAATGATTTCACGTCGATACTGTCGCACGATGAGAAATGCTGCAAATCTATGAAGCAATGACAAAACGTAGAACGAAGTTGCACAATTTTAATGAGTTCCGGTGCACGTTTCTTCTTTCCCGGTAAGAGCAAAACAACGCGGTATTTTTACTGCAACATGAGTAAAACGAAAAGCGATGAAGATTCTGAGATGGATCTCTCAAGAAGGAAAAGCGCATATCGAAGATAAGACTGTCGAATAATTGCGGGCGAGACCACGACCCCGGAAACATCGACCTGCTTGAACGAGCGAAAGTGATCGTCGTGACCTTGATCTTCGCAGCCGCAGCGCTTGACCTAGTTCGTCTACGTACGCTCGCCGATTTCTAAAAAACCGGCAATTGAGCGATCACGAATAAACATTTCGATTTCCATTCTAGAGGCAACATCGGACCTTCGAATAAGAGGCGTCCTTTCCACAATGCAGAGAGGTCGTTAGACAGAGTAGACTTTCGGCTGCAAAATTCTCCGTGCACGCACGAATAATTTTTTGTTATTTTTGCGTTCGAATCGTATCTTTTTTTGTATGTCGTTTATATCGACTTCCTTTTCTTCTACCCGTTAGATACGCGCGCGCGTTTATAGTTAGAAAATGTTAAAAATTGGTAAATGCTCATTTAATTATTACAAAGGTATAGAAAGTACACTTAAGTATTGTCGAAGTGCCGAAATCGAATTTCTCTAGAGATTTTTACGATCATTCAATTTGCGGTACATCAATTGATGAAAGGCCGTTTCTATAGGAAGCGACTCATGAAAAATTCAAGTTTTCTACCTTCGGAAGCCGAAGAAAGTGACACGCACGAGATTAGTCATTCGGAATTCTTTAGCGGAAAAAGCTTACATCCGTTTATTCATACAGGAGGAATGAAGTGATGAAAGAATACAATTAGAACGCGTGTGAAGTTGTTAAACAATGCAATTTTTTCGCGAACAGCTCTCCCGTGTCTGTCGCGGAAAAGCGAAAAAGCGGATGCAACTTTCGACAGTCGCGTTAGCTGTTAATTATTTTTTCACGGCTTGCAACCACTGTTGAGGAACTCCCCCGCATAATGCTCCTCATTGTTGCGTGTGAAACTCGCGGCGACAAGTATACCGAAGGAAGGTTACGGCCAAACGTACGGGACTTTCACAAGAAGCAAGGCGTCTCGCACTTCAAATGGCGTGAAACGCATAGCAAACAGAAATAGATGATGATAAACGTGAGAGATTAGAACGGTTGTGCATTTAAAGAAACGACCGCGTGAAATCTCAGTAGCGATTCAGACTCAGTAGCGATTCGCGGGATTTTGCGGTCGTTCGCCGAAATTCGAATATTCATATTTTCGAAACAAACGATTGTCGCGATGAATCACGTTTCGCTGAATTAAATTAATTAAATTAAATCTCGTATTGACGTTCATGGATATTAACGACGTCGTCTCTACGCGATACTTTTCCGGCCGACGTTGAAATGTTTATCGACACTTCACACATCTTCACAAATTCGAAAGGAGCGAACGAAACGGAGCGCGTTGGCGTATGTGACGCGTACCTTCATATTTGACTTTCACGGTAGAACGGCGAAATGATCACGGCACTCTCACTGAGAACTCACTGACCATCGCCGCAGGATATATCCTCTCTTTATACCGACTCCCACCCACTTTACCGGTTATCAAGAAAGTGACATCCACCTTGCCGCGCGGTGATTGCCAAAATTCACATTCACCCGGTTATGTTACGAAGAATCGGGTAATAATAATCAAGCAGATTTGATCGTTTCTCCTTACAAATAAATTATTTTAAATAAATAATAGCGTTATGAACTCTCAGATAACAAGGTTCTTATGGTCGATTCATAAAAGCATTTGATAGATTTTCAACTAATTTTTTTGACTAGGCATTTTTTATTCTCATAATAATTTTTCATAATAAATTAAAAAATGTTTAAAAGTAAATAAAATACATCGCAAAATATGTAACATATCTGAATACAACGCTTCACGTTCGCGGAGAATATAAATCCGGTCGGATTCGATCAGATTTTGTTATCTGTGAATTAAATATATATATATATATATATATATAATGAAAACAGATTTTTCCAATACAAGACTGCATGTTTAAAAATCGTCTCAGAGACGTCGTTTAAATATCTTATTATCTCAAAGACGTTTTTATGACTGTTCTCTGGGTTATTTTATATGTCTCAAATTAAAATCAACAATATATATTTAAATGAAAATAACTCAGACTACAATTATTTCCATCGGAAGTTTTTTTTACTCTTTCGAAGAGAAAGTCGTAGATTTTCGAAAAAAAGTCATAGAATTTTTACATCAAATGGAGAGGAACTGCTCATGTTGCATCATTTTTTATAATAAAAAGAAATCATGATACGATTACCTTACGTTTATTGAACACCACTATTAAAATTCTCCGTGTTAATTAGTGATCGAATTCACCATCTGTTCCATTAAATCCACGATTTTATTGCGGTAATATGCTCTTGTGTTTTGATACAATAATACACACATAATCGATTGCGCGAGATACTTAAGTAAATAAATAAAATCGCGTAACATACGATGAATACGCAACGATGCGTTAGAACATGTCGTAATACGAAGGCGTGACGATACCATAAAATAATACTGACGTCTTTGGTATTCAAAGACCGTTGCCGCCAGACCAAATCGCCGTGCGACGCATCGTGCAACTCGTTCTTTGTGTATCTTCTTTTCTTTTCTACTTCCATCGCATTAACTTAATCATGTCACGAGTGTCGACCGAAATCCGCGACGCGCAATGCAATTATGCCATAATGCATCGGCGAAGTGCGTCGTAGAAAGGCGGAAGCAGGAAGGACGGACGAGACGGACACAGGCAGTTTTTGACGAAATTCACGATTCATATCACACGAACGAAAGTTGCAGGATGAAACGTGTGCCGTCTTCTTAAAATATTGATCTCGCTTATTAGCAATGCACTCTTCTTCGCCGTCTGTCTCTCGTCTCACGTGTGTATACGTAATCGATAACCAAGTAGCGGAAGTAGATAGATACCTGTCACATACAATTGTCACGTTCCAAATTATACTTGTAGGAAAGAAATGCAATAGAACAGGCGAAATTCTCATTTTTGTCAAGAAATTCTTGATAAAATTAGCCTCTTACCAAATATTTAGTAATAATCATCAAACATTTGATAACAAATATTAAATATTTGGTAGCTATTTTATTTAGTTGATTTAACTCTAAATTAAAGTCATTCATACTGCAAACCAACTAAACACTTGGTAATTAACATCAAATTTCGTAACAGTTACTAAATATTCCGTCGAAATCTCTAACTACATGTATTTAATAAGTATTACCGGTCTTTTTCCTTCAGTATACCTGTTTTTTAAGTTCCAAATGTATGCACTAATTCAAAGACAAAGAACAGCTGTTATCCTTTCTCCGATTATAAACTCGAGCAAAGATTGGAAGTCTAGAAACAATTTCGGCAACTCTTACCTTCAATCGTATGTCGTTTGCGCGAAATGAAATCAAAATCATTACAGCGTAATAGTCTCCATTGTCCTTCCAACGATATAAAATAGAAAGTATGTTAGGCGGCGCTGGCTTATATCCGATTGTAGCTCGCGAAGAGCCGATTAGTCGTTGGTATAATTCGCAAGCTATATTTTATGTTCCGCGTAATAACAAGATTATTGCTATCAACTGCGCATTGAATTGTAACGCGATAGATTTTCCCTTGCTTTCGTCTCTTCATTCGGTCTGGACGCCGAATTCGTAATAATGGACATCCCATTCACAATCGCTCACGATTTTCACATTAAGCGCCGATTGTATTTATGTAAGTCTCGACGTTGCATATCAACTGTTTAACTGTTCACGTACGAAAATAGCAAAATGATTATGTACAATAATACAAAACAGACAATTTTTATATGATTTTGACTTACCATTCGTTTGGTGATCGTTTTTTAATATAGCCGATAGCCCACGTCTGATAGTCCAAGTTACAGTTGTTACAACGGAAAATAGGATAGGCGATTATGAAGTAGTCCCCTGACTAGAAATCTTCTGCGTCATTCCATTTAATTTTGACTATTATTATTCGTTTGGCAGTTGAGATTCCATTAAAGAAAACAAGATATACGATTGCAAAGTTGACTCCTCTTTACTATTAATCGTGCTTCTGATTACGCATGATAACAATTGAGAAAATTTGCTTGATAATTTTTAATTTAGCCGAGTTCGATTTAGCACTCGTTATCTGTATCGTTATATGTCATGTTACAGTTCGCAAAACGATAAGTAGAAGCTTTACTTCTGGCCGGAGCGGCTTGACCACCGATGACATAAGACATTCGTTTATTTGACACGTTATGCGCTTAGATCCTGCGCGTCTGTCGTAATATTTATTGCGAGACGTTTCCACTTACCTAGTCATTTCGCCTCGGATCTTGACAACGGTGGTCTTCATGCTTCAATAATTGTTGTCATGCAGTAATGGTTGCATGGCCTGCTACCAGACAGAGGAATTACTATACTTATCCTCTCGTCATTCTCTCCTAGTTCTTACTTCTCGAAATGTAATACATATGCGTCTAATTTTTAGAAATCCCGTTCTCTATTTCGCCGGTCTTCCATTCTGCTTCTGGCGTGTTCTTAACGTGAGAAATTAATAACTCGGTGATGAGACAAAAATTATAAACCACGCTCGTCGTCAAGTAACAAAAAAAACGAGAATAAACAATCCGATCTCATAATGTCGCTCTTAGAATATCAAGCGTAATTGCGGTCTATTTCGTAAAATGCAATATTGCTAAAAACGAAAGTACGGTATAAGGATAAATGCATGATGAAGAGATGTTATAAGGTGACACAGGGAAGCGGGACGTAGTGAGGCACACAAACGCGTATTGGCATAGTGAAAATATGTAATAAACATATTTTATGCAATATATGAAAACTTATAGATACACAACATGGCCTCGTCACCACCGGTACCACCGCCACTCCCAGCACCTGCTCCACCGCCAATCACAATCGTCTTCGACTTTTCCATCGAATATGTCAATTCGCAATACACGTGACAAAAGAGAGAGAGATAACAAATGACGATTAAAATAAAATAACTCTACGTTTCTCTCTGCGTCAATTTTTAACGCGCCCTTTCATCATTTCGTCTCTTAAAATATCAAATAATATTAAAGCTACTAATCGCAATTGTAATTCTCTGACGATCAATTTGGAAAAAGAAAAGAGAGGAGAACAATTTCGAAACAACTAAAATGCTTTTAAAATAATTAAAATTCGAACGGAACTTATTTTGTTTTCTCACCGAAGATCGCCCGCTCGATCGAGTTTCTCCGTAATTGGAAGGGCGGATCGGAAGGATAGCGACGTAACGAACCCTCAGGACCATCTCGGCCGGGAGTGCCAGCTGGAGGGTAGGAGCGGGGCAAGGGCGGTGCAAGAAGTCTCTCCTCTATCACGCTCACTTTCGAACTAGTTTCCTTGTTATGTGTTACAAATCAGTGCGCTCGGTGTACAATCGTACAATCCAAGATTATATCATATATATATATACAGAACAATCTTAAACCGCTGAATCTGGATAAAGAACGCGAGTAGTAAATTCGTCTACCGCGGGTGGAACTTTCCCGCATCTTCCTTCGCGTCTCTCTCGCTTCCCTGCGAACTTGGTTGCGCGAACCTCGACGTGATCGCGAGACGAGATTGCCTCGATTTTCCCATCACCGAGCGCGTGTAATTTAGACTTGTTAATAAAGTCTACTCGCGTATTCATTAAAGTTCGGATCTAGTTTCGAGGGCGAATCGGGTCGAGATTGACTCGAATTTTCGATGAATACACGTTTATTTTTTTCCCCTCGTAGGATAGAGAACTCGGCTCTGGAGTTTGAGACTCAGGATCGATCCTTCGCGCAGCGAGACGAATTCTACCCGGAGCACGCGCTTTGCGTTGTCGTCTACGCGTGTCTCGGCGCGAACGGACCAACCGCGGTAGAGAAAAAGCGAGAGGCGGCTTCGATGAGAGAGAGAGATCGTAGGATTTCTCTTCATCGGCGGACAGGCGAGTAGATTGAGAATTTGAGGGGTTCATCGGTGATGATTCGTGCGTGGTCATTGGATAAAGTCGAAAGACGAAGGACGAAGTATGCGCCGAAGGAACGTCGGAGGATCTCTCGGACGATCTCGCCTCCCTTCTCGCGCGACGGACTTGCGCTCGGCATCCGAGCGACTTTCACGGAGTCTGCTATCGGAGAAAGACACTGGTTCTCCTCAAGCTAGGTGAGCTCCGCGGAATTTTCTGTAAACGGGCAGACGCGAAGTGGCGGATTCACGCCGCGTTTGGCGTGACGAAGGTTAGATCTATTCGAATCGCAATTAGAACCGAACTTTCGAAGGACTTGGAGAAAGAGAGAGAACGACAGAGAACGCGCTTCACGCGACTTGCATTCGTCATTCGTCCACCGCTTCGCTGTGTTTTTTTTCGCCGCGATGAGGGCTGCGTGTTCTTGCCGCGCTATAAGCGTCGTTTTATCTTGTATTATACGCCGGAGATAGAACGATGCTTACAGTAAGCTTACGTAAGCGGCCAAATCGAGCGCAGCCGAGGAGGGATCGCGCGGCGCTCGCGAAGACAGCGGCGGCTCGCTTCCGTCGAGTGACGAAATCGTTTCGTCGCGTGCAGGGAATTAGATACTACTACACGGTAAGATCGGTTTCGACGGACGCACTGTTCACTTCCTCTTCCCGTCCGGCTACCTAAGGTGTCGCCGCCAACGAAAGCGAGACGCGCTTCTCGAGACATTGCCGGAATGACATTCCCTCTTGTGGGATTTCGACAATCGAAATCGTAATCGCTCGAACACGATATTTTCGAGCGCATCGTCTCCGTTTTCCTTCCCTCTCGGTCCCTTGCTTTGGAATTGAAGGAGCGACGTCTTGCACAGCATAAATGTATAATTCGGCGCAGACACTATGTATAAAATATGTTACATATGTTCCCCGCGAGATGTGTGTGTGTGTATGTGACGTGTTAAAATACCTTTAAACGTAGTGTTCTAATCTCAAAATTGCTCGCTCGAGAAAAGTCGTCGTTGTTGTTGTGGTTGTTGCTCATGTCGAAAGCGCGGTACCGATCGCGCGTCGCGTGGCACCCGACTCGTAATTTCAATGCAAGGGAGATCGATCACGCGTAATTCCTCGTCTCGCACCCGGCGTCTTCGCCGTCTGTCTCTGCGCGCTCGAGGACGGCTACGCTCGTTCTCTGCCGAACTTCTTCGGTTTCTCGCGTGATCCTCTCGTCTCTTCAAGTTACTTCCGAGTATTAAAAAAAAACATATAAATATACGTCGAAATTTACATTTCATTTCTCTCGGAATTACTTTATGATTCGTCATCATATACACTGAGAAAAAAATTCTTAAAAATTTACTTGTAAAATATAAAGATTATTTTACGGAAATATTTAAAGACGTTTTTAATTAAATAAAAAATTTTTATTTAAATACAGTGAAATAAAATTTTATTCTTAACAAATAAGCCACAATTAATAGAAAAACATATTTTACAAAAAATATGTATTGCGTCATCAAAGTCAAATTTTTCTCTAATTAATAAATATCGAAGAAAATGCCGCAAGAAACATTTATTTCGCAAAATTTTAATTTCTTTCTCTCAGTGTATGACAGAGTATGAGACAATGAATGAAATTAAAAAATTATTTTATCGAAAATAATCAGATATAATAATTCTCAACTGGTACGATATGAATAAGCTGTCACTTGGCTCAACTAGTTGCAGTTGTTCTTTAATTTAAGAGAAAAAAAATGAAAAAGGAAGAAAAAAGAATGACAAAAAAAAATACAATCTACTTTTAAAATAATTATGAACAGAGTGGTTTCTCTAACGATTACGTTCGACAACAAACGAAAAACACGAAAGAAGAATTACTTTATATAAATAATTAATCTGTTCGGAATGATAATTGAAATATATGGAGGACCAGCTCCTGTTTATATTTTCAGAAGAATAGAATAATTTCATTATTGCGAGAATGATACGCCCGACTATAAGATTCAGGCAGCGATATGTATTTTCGTCGAGGCATCGTCAGCGCCCGGGAACCCAGAGAACGTAGCCGCAACCACCCTCGGCCAAGACCACGCCGGACTCTCTCCCTTCTTCTAAATGATCACCTAACCGTACAGCTTTTGCCGTATACCTAAGTGCGAGAATCCACGTGTGCTGCGTGTACTACTTGATACTTTGACAATCAAAAAATCATTACCTGCAAAATCGAAAGCTGCGTTTTCCCGTTTAGCGCTGCGCCGCTGCGTCACCACTGCACCGCAGAGAGAGAGAGAGAGAGAGAGAGAGAGAAAGGAAAACAGAAAGAGAGGAAAGAGAAGAGAGAAAAGAGAGAAAAAAGGGAGAGAGAGAAAAGGGAAAAGAGAAAGAAAGGAAAGGGAAGAAAGAGAGGAAGAGAGAGGGGGGGGGAGGTGTGTGTGTGTGTGTGTATGTGTGTGTGTTTAATTGTTATATCGAATGTATTCGGTATCGGTTACAGCCTAGAATACTGAGCAAAGAACGAATAGATCGGCGATCGGTGATCCATGAGCGATCTCGAAGTGCCATTAATCAGTGAAATTCGTTTCCTCCTTATTTTTTTTTTGTATATCTCTCTACCTTTATCGCGCGTTTTGCATCTCGTAAGTCCTAAATGTAAAAATTCACAGAAATTCCACATCTATAAGATCTATTGTGGACGAGGGTAAGATCTCCTCTTGGAGGCATCGACCGCCGTTTTCCAGCCTTAACTAGTTCGCGACGTTAATGGCGGAGACAGAGAGGTCGGGAGGACGGAAAACGAAAAGAGAGGAAGAGAAACCAACGTACGCGCGTTTAGGAGCAGCAGCGACTCGAAATGCTTTGTAAAAAATTTATAGAATGTATATATACATACATGTGTATACAGCGTGTCCCATTTTAATTTAGACACCAAAATATCTTATTATATGCGAAAACAACGCATTTTCTACGAGATCTTCTCTCGATATTTATTATTTTCTGAGCATTTAAATACTGGCGAATGATACTATCCTTTTTCTTTCTTAAGAAAGCAAAGGAAGATAATGCAGGAGTAACAGGATCGAATTTTGATAGACGGTCAAAAGAAATGTAAAGTTTTATGAACATCATCTATAATATTTTAACGTACGTCCTGTAATAATATACGAATAGAACATTCGCATATTAGCAATGAGTTTGACGGTGCTATTGACGGTGAAGAAATAAAATTATCTTTTAGAGATCCCCCAATGTTCCCCTCAAGGACCGTCCGGGTTGATCGTCTGCTGGTTTTATCTTCATTGGTCATATACTTCAAAATAAAAACTTTGAACGCTATTTTGCGTTTATTGGAGGAGGTTTAACGAAAAATTATCACGAACAAAATTCTCTTATTTTTTCCATACAGTACGAATCTGCAATAAAACATAGGCGTTTTCATCGAAAAGAATCAACTTACTGGATCTTACTGGATTCTAGATAGATCCCAGATCCGGGATCTAGGTGGCTCATCTCATGACTCTCTTCAAACTCTGCAACTTTTCTTTGAAATATTTTTTTCTAAAATGCATTGTTTTCGAGATGTTTTAGTGTCTGAGTTGAAATGAAACATCCTATATATACATACATCCGCCGTCTGTTGCTTTTTGCTTTTTCTGTATATGTATATATATAAATATATAAATATAAATATATATATATATATATGTGTAGAAGTATATATTATTGTGTAGGTATTATAATGCGTCGGTGTTATTTTCCTCGTCTCCTCCCCGTCGCGCTTGCGCTTCTGCCATTGCTGTACAATAATCGTAGCGATAATGATAAACGAAATAATAATAATATAATAATAGTAATAATAATTATACAATCATGATAACAATCATAATAGTAAGAACCTCGATAAATATCTAACATGTCGCCTACGCGACGTATTTGCTCGCTGTCACGTTTTTTGTCTGTATAAAGGACAACATCACTACTTTGTACGGCGGCTGAACTGGGAAAAAGATCGTTTCTTCGAATACTGAGAAAAAGACTTAAAAATTTATTTGAGAAATATAAGGTTTATTTCACAGAAATTAACGTTTATTTAAATACAGTGAAATGAAATGTTATTCCTAGCAAATAAATCAGTTAATAAGAAAACTTAGATATATCTCACAAAAATATATATTCTGTTGTCATAATAAATCTTTTTCCAAACAATAAATATCGAAGAAAATGTCACGAGAAACATTTGCTTCGCAAAATTTCAATTTCTTTTTCTCAGTACATCTCCGATGTGTTCCGACTTAAGTTCTACTGCGACAATACCGTTTCGGCGCCGCAAGAACTTGTTTCAAGTACCGTTTATATTTTAACCGTCGCTTTAACGTCACCTACAAGCAAGAATGAGAAAAGGAGAAGGTGCTCTCTCAGTCGTCTCGTTAACTCGTTAGAAAATGAAAACTGTGTCTATGAAGAAAGACATATTCGCTCCGCGCGAAGCTCCTGACCGGAAAAAGCGAACCCTTCGAGGCAAACGAGCCAAAGATTTGTTGCCTAGACATAAATCAGAAAATTCCAACGTTCAAATGTGGCGTACTTTTCTCGTGTTTGTCGTATTTACCGTACGAACACTCAGATGTCATGAACATCTAACAAGTTAAATATTTGCCTCCTCTCGACTATCTCCTGCTGATCTCGCGCGCAAGACGCAGGTCTTTCGCGATTTCGCTCGCTATTTCGTCCTCGATTCTCCACGATCTCTTCCCCATTAAGATCTCCGCGACGTGTGTCATCCTTAGGACTTGGACACAATGAAAGTAATAAAGAACAAGGGACTAAATCTAGGAATTAGGAATAAGATATTAGGAATAAACTATAAATCAAAACACAATAAGAGAATGTAGAGAATGAAATAGAACGTTTTAAAACGAGATCATTATTTTAACTATTTTCTAACGAATCTCTACCGTCATTAGTAACACTATTATCATTTTCTTTATAATTATCGATTGATTCAAACTGATTATCATTTGTATATTGATGGCCACTAGACATTTTGGGGATTAACTTTCAGTCAACTACTAAGCCCATAAATACACAAGTTATAAGGAATAGAATTTCGACAGTGTTCCTAATCCTAGTTCTCTATTTCTTCATTGTGGATTGAAACATGGCTGTTCATATGTTGAAACTTAATTATCCTTCCTAACTCCCTATATTTAATTCCTCGTTTCTTATTCCTCTCATTGTGTCTGCACCTTTACTTTCAGGCGTTTCTCCTAGTCTTCGTTGAAACGTCCCCCCCCCCCCCATCTTACGATAACGTGTCAACGTGTAAATATACATAAATAATTACTTGCGACTCTTGTGAGTAAAATAATTGGCGTCTAATTGGCGATGCGGTATACTTCTTTCGTTTGCTTCTCTTCGGCGCGTAAAAAATCGACTTGAAGAAACGAACGTCGAATTACTCGAACGACTTGCCAGGGGAACCCCGAAGAGAGAGGATGAGCGCGACCGTTGCACGTCCGTCCGACTTCGAATTCGCGCGACTCGACTTCTCCGGCTTCCACGTGACGCGCGCAACTCGAATGTTAGCGGAGCTGAAACGAGACACGGCGGCCGTACTTTGCAAATAAATAATCGGTACACTTCGTAGATGACGTTTACTGCGGCCGGTATCCTCGTCGTCGTCCGGCGGTGAACGCGCGGCGACGAGCATACGACCGTCTCGAGTACAAAAAGAGATCCACGTGTTTCGACACGTCGACTTCTCGAAGCGTGTACGATTGAAGGAAGCATAAGTGTCGCGCTTGAATCCACGTCTCTCGAGAACTGCCGAATTTCGCGTAACTTCACCGATCGAGATTTCTTTTGCAATATTTATTCTTGACACCTTATTACAAGGATAATTTCTCGAAACATCTGTAATGCGCGGAAAGCCTTTATAATCCTCACATCTGGAATTACATTACACCTTAAATAAATTTCTTTACACTCTATATATATATATAATTTGAATAAAAAATTAAAAAAATTATTTCGATGTGCAGAGAGAGCTTTCACTCTCCCTCAGTTCACCGCGGCGTTTGCTTCTCCTTATCGAGTCGCTCTCTCGCGCAGAGAGAGGGAGAGAGGCCGTGAGAGCCAGTTGGCGAGAGGACTCCTACCTTCCGACCTGCATGCTCCCTTCAACGTACACCTTACGCACGCTCCATAGCCGACCCGCAGGCGCATCGTCGCTCACGTCGTTCGCGGCACGACCGAACTCGAGATGTACGTCGCAACGACCCGACCGGGAAAAGCGATGCCACGTGGTCACGAGACTTCCCTAAGAATCGAAGGGACCAAACGGCATCGGTCGCTCCCCGACCGTTCGCGTTCCCGCTCGTCGGGATGAGCCTCCCTTCTCACGGCGACGTCGGCGCCTCGCGAACTGACAAACAGGGCGACTTCGCGTGCGCGTCTCCCCTTAACTGCCGTGATCCTGATCGAGCTCGTCCAGCGACTCGAGTCTGGCGATCGGCGCCTCGTTTATCGTGTACTCCCACGACATATCCTCGCTGGTCTGCCTCGAGGACTCCTGCCGGATTCCGCTCGCCTGCTGCCCCCCGCCGCCTTCCTGCCTGTCGATTGCTCTGGCCTGTTGGCCTGACTCGCCATTACCGCCACGATGGTTCGTGGAATCCTTGCGCGAGTCGCCGCTGCGCGGACGCTGCGAGGCGGCGCGATCCGCTGAGATTGAGACCACGCAGCTCCAAGGGTCCTCGCCCTCTGGCTCCGATCGTTTGTTGAACGAGCTGTATCTGTCGCAAGGGACGCTTTATCAACGGCGTAGCAACGACGTCTTGGCTGTCGAGGGTGGCCGCTAAACGTGGATAGGGAGAGAAAGAGATACCGGCGTCCACGTTTAGCAGCCGGCGCGCAGTGACGCATTTGTTTCGCCAGGAAGAGACATCGCGTCGTGAAATAAGAGAAAGTCAAAGTCGATGACTCAAACTTAGCTTGATTAACGTCGATAATGTATAGGCGATCCTCAAAATGTTACTTAACATTGACATGGTCGCACTATTCTTTTGTATTTCTCGTACAGCAGACTCCATTAATGTGGTCCTATTATTTTGGAATATTTCTACATCATGACCGCTGCTTTGAAGAATCCCTAGGCCGAACAAATGTCTAAAAGATGTCTAGACGTCCAAAATACGTCTTATTATTTTAGATATTTTTTGGACGTCTTTAAAAAATCTTTCGAAATTTGTTCGATCGTTGCCTTATATCTAACGAAAAAACTAACTAAAATATGTAAAAATCTTTCCATAAACTCTTCGTATTTCTTAGACTTCTGAATTTAATTGAAAAAATATAGAAATTGAAACACTGATACGTTCGATATATACAAGCTGCGGGATTTCTGTATTAGATAAATATTTATGCCAAATGATAATAGAAAATGTCAATTTGAGAATTTTTAATCGTTCTCATCACATCGTCGAGCAATGCTCCGATTAATTTTCATACAAATTTTCACTATACACAAGTATTGATAATTTTACACGGTCAATACAACGTAAATTCTGCAGAAAGAAATGAGTGTTTCGCTGTTAAAGTATTGAAAAACAGTATCCCCTTAAGTCACAACGCGATTTCGAGAGAAAGAAATCGTTGGGCGATATCGTGATTGCCGAAAGAGCTCGGTGAACGTAAATGCGCCACTGCAACATTCGGTCCCGCACGATGCGATCGCTAAGATCTCCAATCCGATTTCGTCCCATCTACTCCGCATACGACTTCTCATCCACCAGACTACCTACCCACTCCTATATTCGCCCCTCCTGAAAGCGGCGGGTTGACTGTGCCAGGCGTGGTGAGGCTGCACGCTGGTCGGCACCGCCAGGTCGACTGGTTGGCTCTGCGACCTCGTGGGTCCAGTTTTGCCGTTCAACGCCGTCTGCAACGCCGTCGCCAACGCGGACGTGTCCGATGTCACGGTCAGCCGGGACGTCCCGGACGACGTGGAAGTCGGTTCCCGCGTGGTGGGTCTACTACAGAGGGGAGTACGGAGCTTGTATCAGCGGATCGACGCGCGGTGGAGGACCTTTCGAGAGTAAACCGCTAAAGACAACTGCGAGATATATACTTGAAGCACGTGGTTATATACAGTGGGATTCGACAGGCCTCTAATCCTCTAAGTTGGTCCCGAGCAGTGTCACGGGTGCCGCGAACCGACCATCACGATCGACCGTTCCTTCCAGCTGCAATCACGCCGCGTTGAATGAAGAGCGATCCCGCCAATGCGCGGTGACTGAAAGTTCATCTACGTGCGCGAACGACAACAGATGTATGTGTGTGTGTGTATGCGCGAGAGACAACTGATGGTCGTAGCTAAAGAGTGGGCCTCGTCAACGTCGATCGAACCTTCAATCGTCTTACTTCGTCGCGACAGATGCGGCAAGTCAGTTTAAAGCCAAGGGAGTCAAGATGGATCGACGTTGTTGAAGCCGCAAAGAGCTGGAGAAAAAGTATTTTCCTTCGGACAGATTTGGAAACGAAGGCTAGTCGAGCAGCGTAAATGTCGCTTGCGTATACCCTGATGAGGTGTGGTATATGTAAGCGAACGAGAGCAAGAGAGAAAAAGAGACAAGTACGTGCAAATTAGAAGAAGTCGAGCCTACTGTTAAAGAGCTTCTTATATGAACGTAAGAGTCAGTCTTACTTCAACGAGATGCTTGCATTTCTAAATACTGGATGGGCTATGTGCTCTCGAAGCGTGCGACATTAGAGATGACAATACCTACGAGAAGAACGTGTGAAAAATACAACACTACGATTCTAAAAATCATGATGTCAGCAATGGTGTATCGCCTTTAGGAGGAAGTCTGCGTTATTTTCTTTCGCTTTACATTTTTCTTTCTCTTCAACGGTAATTACCGACACATCGATCGTTCGCGCGATCCGATTTCGGTCGGATTAGCAGAGTTCGCAGTGGGAGAGGGAGACCGGGAATTTTGCGATCCGCGTGCGATACATTCGATCGCCCATGACACTGCTCGCTCAAGGGGTTTCAAATAAGAGTATGATGGTGGTCACCTTCGGAACTTGTCCAACTTTTCCAAAATAAAAGACGCCGAAATCAAATGCAACTGATCCAGGGATTTCGAAAGAAGGCTTTCCAAGAACAAAAACATCGATTACTTCCTCAGACAGTCTTTTCTATTCGGACATTCTACAATGCGAGAGATCAGAACATCGTAAGTAAACCCTCTACTGAATCCCGAAACGCGTTTGCTCGCGTGACAACGTAGTAACTACCTCTAAACATCGACTTTCATCGCACAAGATAGGATTCGACTAGCAAAAATCGCTCGGTGTGACTAAGAGATCGGCAACGCGGAGGTTGACGTCGCGCTCTCACCTGAACAAGCCGTGCGACGTGCTAGGCTGGATCTTCCCGTTGCTGACCGGCACGGTCGGAGGCTGCGGCTCGCTCGCCGACCTCTGCACCAACGCCGGCGCCCTGCTGCCGGCGGGCTGCTTCGCGGTGCCAGGCATCATCTCGACGCTGGAGCTCTCCCTCGACGAGTTCAGCGTCTGCTGGAGCAGACTCAGGATCAACCTGATCTCGCCGGTCATCGAGTGCTCCAACGAGGTCACTTGCCGCGACAGCTGGTCGATCCGCGCGTTGATATCCTCCACCGGCCGGCCTGGACCGCTCTGAAAGTCGCCTGGAAGCGCAAAAGTGTGTTCACTCAGCTCGAAACGGCTCTACCAAGAGACTCAAGCGCCACAGGACGGCACTCTAGCAGCGGCCGATGTTATTATACGACTGATGATGAAGTTTGTTATAAGGTGACGGACTTAGGCTGCGCGCGAAAGCGATACGTGAGTGACGGGATGTGCAGTTTGGTCGTGTGCGAATTACCGTGATCAAAGACAATGGGCCCCTACCATGGGAATGAGGATGCTGCGGGGGCGATGGTGTGGTGTAGTGGCTCGACGTTGTCGAAGTGGGATGGACCACGTTTTGACTGAGGCAACTCTCGCCAGCGGCGGAACTCCGGCGCGCCGGTTTCGTCAGCGGCGTGGTCACTAAGTTAAACGGCCACCAGTGAATTACCACATAACGGGCGGAATAAAAAGAAAATAAAAGAGATCGACTAACATTTGCATGTACAGACAGTGCTACGATATTATGCTACGCCGCGATCAAAGGGAATCCTTCCGAGGCAAATAATATTCTCTTTTCTTTCTCTTTTTTTTTTTTCGCCTGCTCGCTCCCCGGATTCTCTCGTAGTGAGTCGGGTCATCATAGATCGGGACTTGAGTGTAATCGGGCTTATCTCTGTTCCTACGTTTCGACCGACCGTTAATATACTACTTACTTTGCTTGGCGAGATAATCGTGGCTGGTGAGCGGCTGCAGGTGAATCTTGTGCTGACGTAGATCCGGGATACTGCGCTTGAGATGGGTTAGCATGCCTGAACAACCAGGTTTCAAGGTGTTATCGAATTTGGGACCCAAACGAAAAGCGATACGCAGAGGGGTTGGGCAGAGACGGAGGAGTCGCATACCCGGTACCAAAAAGAAAAATAAATCGAGAGAATCGGTAGTGGAAGATGAGAGAGAGAGAGAGAGAGTCACATCGAGCTGAAGGCGAGATAACGTCTGTGAAGTTATTTTTTCATAATTAAAAATTTTTTCATAATTAAAAAAAATGAATAGAATTCTGGTAGCCCCCCGAAGAGTTCTATCGATTATCTTTAAGACTTTTTGTGCTAAAATTGAAGATAAAGATGTTATAGCATTTCGAATTGATACAATCGTGAAGTCTCCTTGTACTTTCATTTCGTGTTTTCACCTTCTTTCGAACGGAACTCTTTTTAATATCGATAGAGAATTCTTCGGAAAGCAACAAGAAGTCTACTCATTTTTTTTAATTTTGAAAAAGTGGGGCCAACTTCACAGACATAGCGAGATATAGTTTAGAAAGCCTACAAGAAAGGTGATGACACGAATGTCATTACGAGCGTCGCTGAGCGCATCTGAATAATATCGGTGTTCTAACGTCTTTGATCGTGTTATGCATCTAGCGTTAAACGTGGTCATACGATTCGTTCAGTGTGTGTGTGTGTGTTTGTATGAGAGATCCTCGTGTTAGAGAAGCAAAGTCCGCGAGCGGACACATTTAGCGCTAAATATGGCAGGTCAGTTACGAGCGCAAATGTTTTCCAAGTCAGGGGAGTCTTGCTATTAGTTACAACAAGTCAAGTCAAGTCGAGAAAACGTCCGATATTGGAACGGAATCTGGCTGATCGAAAAGGAAATACTCTATTTTATGGGGAAAGGGGTCTATCGTCGTGCAAAAAACAACATTCCTCAAACAGAAGATTAGGAACAAACACGAGAGATGTAGAAAACGTTGTTCGCTCGAAACGGCGAGACCGAATATAACGATCACTCACCGGTTATTGAGTTTAAGGTCGAGCTTCGCTGCTTAGGCTCGTCGAATTCGAGATTCAACGGCGTCACATCCTGACCGGCTTTGTCTGTGCTGAACTCTAAGATGCCGTGGCCGCTGCCTTTATCGCTGTAATAAGCGAAAACGAAACTGAGGGACCTTGCAGAGGATAATTCAAATTTTTAAAGAAAATTTATTTATTTATTCATTCAATTAACGGGAATAAGACCCTTTGACACACAGAACGGAAAAAATGTGATATAATAGTCAAAAAGGTTACACCATGCTAAATTATCACCTTAATTTAATAGTTAATAATAGAACTGCCAATGGTACTATTTTGGCTTCGCTGACTCTAAAATTGCTATAAATCCTATAAATTTTGGCATTGATTAGTAGTTTCCCCTGATTTTTTTATCATATAATTTCAGATAATGTAAACAATATTGAAATAACTCTTAAGTAACCGAAAATAAAAATAGGAGCCAAATTGGCGCTTACAGCAGCTCTAACGGACAGCGGTTCTAGTGTTAATTGTGTGTATCGATTGAAATGTATCGAATTGTGTGTATCAGATTCAACGATAAAACAAGGTGAACGTGATGAAGATAAATATGGTAAGACGATGAACTTACTAGTCGTCTTGGTCGTCTTGCAAGGAATCTTGTCGACCTGTGGGAATAAGATTTGTGCCAGGACCACCGGGTCCTCGACGGTATCTTGGTGGACGGAAAGCGTACCTCCTGGCGTCGACTTCGACGTCCGTCGGAGTGCTGACAGGAAACCTTGCCGACATTGGATCGACACCAGCCTGCTCTTCCTGATTCAAAGTGATAAAGCGAAATGCAGCATTATCGAGAAACATCGCGCGAGAGGAAATGAGGATCGCTTACGTCTCGCATGTTGAAGGTGATCTCGAGATTCCGGCTGAAGTGATTGGAGAATTCAGGATAAAGCGCCAAAACGTCGAGCAGATCGTCCCTGTGGATCTTGTGGAGATCGCAATAGATCAGCGCGCGTACATTACAGGACGATTTTCCGACTGTCGAATGAATGCACGGATTCTCGCCGAATATGTCGTCCTTGCCTAGAATGGCCATCACGATGTCGTCTTTCAGGATCTCGATACTTCCGCGGGATATAAAATACAGAGAGGTCAGCACGTCCCCGCGATGGACTAAAGTATCACCCGGTGGCGCGTGCGTCGTCTTAAACTTTAAGGATAATGCCCTGTTTTGCAAAAAGGAGACGGTATCCTTCGTTATCGCCCGATCGTTCAACCAACCCATCGTCTCACGTCAGCGTCGACTATGAGATTCTCGGTTACCTTAAACAGCCTGGACTAGCCCCCTCGAAGGCTCTGCAATTGTTTAAAAGATTCCTATTGAGATGAAGACAGATGTCGGCCTGAAGGCACTCGGGGAACCCTTTGAGGACACTATTCATATCGATTCCGTTCGTATACGTCCACGCGTGTTGAAAGTATTCCTCCAATCGTTGGCGGAGCGGATTCGGGATTTGATGAAACCTTATGAACTCCCTGACTCTGAGCATCTGCGTGTGATATCGGGCTGTGCCGCTGTATAGCCTCTGGATGATCGCCGAAACGTTACCGAAGATGCTGGCGTACATTAGAGCTGAAATAGTAGTTGTGGTCGTGAAGCGAATCGCGCATCCAAAGATGCATTAAAATAATACTTGGCGGTTCTAGCGAAGTCATTTTCCAATGAAGACGATTAAGATATATCGAAAATTGAAGATCGAGAATGTTCCCAGCGATAAACATGACATTTTTCACCGACTAATCCGATTAATTAATTGTTCTATTTTGATTGATATATCCTTGTCAATACGAATTCTTATTTCTAATAAAAATTCAAAATGTTCTGAATTCAAAAAGTATGTTAAAATATCCCGTTCTAAAAAAAAATATTTTAATAATTTTAATTAAAAAAATTAGAATAAAAAATAATTTCAATAACTCTGAAAAATATAATAAAAGAATTCTAATAATTCTAAAAATTCGAATTAAAAAATAATTCCAATAATTTTAAGAGTTTTAATGAAAAGATAAGAGAAATATTTAGACGTCCGCCGATATCACTGCGACATGATTCGTCAACGTCACTTACATCCGATCAACATGACGACTATTGTGAAAATCTTCTCTGCGTCGGTATTGGGCGCCACGTTCCCAAAGCCTACGGACGTCAGACTGCTGAAGGTGAAGTAAAGCGCTGTGATGTAGCGGCTCTGGAAAAGTTACACCGTTACGGGGGTCGCGCGCGTACCGTTAATATGCGATCTCAAATAGAGCGTACTCGCGCGGATGGCTTACTTTTATGCTCGGCCCACCGGTATTATTGTGAAAATAAAACTGATGCGTATCGTTGGCCAGAATGTCCAGCCAACCAACCTTGTTCTTCAGTGTCGGTCTCTCGGCGTTTCCTATAGCGTACCTTGAAATCCGAGGTAACGTATTGCATTTACGAGATTATCTCGAGAGTTACGGAAGGGACAGGAATCATCGCGCGTCCCGATGACTCGAAAACAATCACAGGAAGGAGAATTTCTACGAGAATGCGACCACTCACCATACACATGCCATCCAATGAGCAATAAGAGCGAAGGTGGCCATTAACAGTAACAAAACCGCGGCGCCGTACTCGCTGTATCGGTCGATTTTCCTGGCCACCCTGACGAGGCGTAGGAGACGGGCCGTCTTTAAGAGTCCGATCAGGGTTGTCGTCTGAAAGTAATTTATCATTTTTTCCATCTCCCAACTCTCCCTGCGAACCCGCATTTTCTCCGCGACTTTCCTCCGGTCTTCACTTTCATCACATAGAAATTAGCCTCATCCAACGACGCCTTCGCGGCCTTCGTCGGCGAAGTGCAAACAACGTATCATCGGGTACCGTTCAACACCAAATTGCTCGTGCGAAGATGAAAACGTGCAGCGTGTTCAAACGACTCGTATAACACACCAAACACGATGCTTTCGTGCCGCTCACGGACCGTATCGAAGATGCGTGCCTGACGGACATCCTTCAGAGGCCTGTTTTTCATTTTCGGATATCGAGACCCAATAAACACCAACTAACGGTAACATTTTACATCAATGTTATAATTTCTCACTCAACAAGTTAACATACGATTGTATGTAACAGTTGCATTGTTGAATTTATAATATCGATTGTTAGATTGGGTAAATGCAGCGGGCAAGTGTATGCATCGCCTATAACTCTGTGTGGAAGGCGCGGGAGGTGTTTATAAAATGTTTAGTCGCCAACTGAAGACAAAAAAATAGTCTGCTCTTTTTAGCTGAACTAGCTGTTTAAGAAATTTACGCACACTGAAGCGTAAGAATCTCGTACATACGCAATGCATATGTAAATCTTCCGAACGTAGAATTCCAAAGTGCGTACACCTACCCCAACTGATTCTACTGGTGTTTATCGGGAACACGCGCGTTCACCGACAAGGGGTGAAATCGCCCGTCTTCGAGCGAGCTTTTCATCAGCGATAAAGCAGGGCGAAGGCTCACCTCGCGTCTGTGCGGACATTTATCAAAAGCCTAATCAAACGTCGCGCTAAGGCCATTTCCATGTTGGAAGTGTCATTCTCGCCGGAAGTCGTCACTCCGGCTGCACGTCAATCGCTCGACGTCAAAGCGGCGAACGTCGGCTGCTCGCCGGAATATACATCACGATTACGTACGGAGCGGCGGCGTGACATTTTGCCGAGTCCCAAATACCAAAGTTGAAACCACCGCCGCCGCATCTTCGTCGCGGCGTGCCGCTTCTCGTCGCCAATTTGAGAGCAGACCTACTTTCGGGATGACGGGAGACGACGATCCGCAGCCGAGAGTGAGGATTAACTCTCGCGTAGCGTTGAAGGGAGAGAAAGCCGCGAGGGAAAAGAGAGAGGAAGCTGCTGCGCCGAGAGGGCAGAACATAGTGACGGTACGTCCTTGTTGTGAAAGGGACTTAATATCGATTCAAGCCTTGTTTCTAGATTTGTATAGTTCATCAGGAAATGGGGGGGGGGGGAGATGCGCGCGGAAATGCATTCGGAATACATCAAATCGCGGGAATTTGATGCATCCAATTCCGAATTAGATAGATAGAATAGAGCGAGAGAGAGAAAGTATATAGTACGGCAGCGGTAATCGGCTTGCAAGCAGTCGCGGAAATAAAAACAGAAGGAAGCAACACGTGGAAATCAATCAGTGCGACCAACGTCGAAAAGAAACGGAGAAGCGTGTATAACGGAAGTACGCATGCTTCTTCCCTCTTACCTGCCGATAAAATCAGGAAGCCTTCCGTCCGAAGGGGAGGAAGAGAAAAGATGAATAAAAAAAAGAAGGATAGCCTCCAACATTCAAACGGTAACAAGTACATCGAACACTTTCAAACTGAAAGAGGTCGAGCTCGATATTTTAACGACTATCATGCATCGTGTTCCAATCGAGAACGATCCAATCAATGCTCGGATCACTGTCATACATTTCACGCGCGCTTCAAAGAGAAGCTCTCGACATATTCTGGATCAATAAAAATATAGTTGTCTTTTTTCCTTTTCTTCTTTTGCTTTTGGAACGTGTATTTCATCGAGACCCGGTTGGAAACACGCGAAACTTATTACGCGCTCGTAGAAGAGAGAGAAAGACGAACAAGCGACAAAAAATACGATATCGCTTATGTACAAAAAGTTCTCAGATGCGTGACAATCAAAGGAGCAAGTGTATGATGATGTTAATTATAGCGTTGCACGTGACTCTCGAAAAATTCACCAACAATAACGATCAACGGTCGACCTCATGGAGAGGTTCTTGAATCAAAGCGTGATAACACGGGAGATAGACGATTCGCGAGTAATTTACGATATTTTGCAAGCGTTACAAAAACAAAGGCGCGATGTCTTTATCATTCACCTGTCCTTTCGATCGAACACAAATGTTGCCGAAGCGCGAAATCGAGCGCGCGTGCATCCATCATCACTCGCAATTATTTCTTTTTTTCTCCGGTCAAGAACATACGACCGCGGTTTTGTACAGCTCGCAACAAAGGCGTAATAGAAAAAAGGTACAAAAGAAGCTCGATAAAAGAACGGTCAGACCAAATAATATTCGAACAGAATCGAGAGGAGAAAAGAGCTGAAGCATATATCGCGCGACTGTTAGCGAAATCGCGAGGAAATACTATCAACCGAAGTGTTTGCGTGATAGTGTTGCTATCCGGTGTTGATATTAGTAGGTGCGTGTACTGCGCGTGTACTGCACGGTCAGCACCCGTGAAATTCTTTTCGACCATGTCGAGTGGACTCGCGATGTCATGAAATCGTTCGATGAATGCTTGTTCGATTGTCGTCATGTTTTTCATCAAGGTTGTCACGTGGTGTCTCTGACAATTAATTTGGAAAAGTGCTACCGCACGCTTCACGGTTAAAATTATTCACAACTCGAGACGTGTGTGTGTGCATGTTGTGTAGTTTGTCGGTTGGACTCGAGCGCTTGTCTGTGGTTTTGTAAGAGAATACTCTCAGCAAAATACGATTAGTACGTAAGCGTGTTCATCCTGCAACCCCAAACAGAAGGAGACCCGAGACTCGTGCGAGTAAAGCAAGCCCAAAGTTGATTTACTTGCTAGTAGTAGAGAAGGACAAAAAAAAGAGAAAAAGAAACTCGAGAAGCTGGATGCAAGAGGGAGAAACAACGAAGACAAAATATACAAAAGATACCTCTCCGCAGAGTTCTGTCGACGTGCTTCGTACCGACTAGAATAATCGAGATTATCGCAGGGACAATGTGTGAAATCGATGCTCGAGGCTCGATATCTGGCAAGAGGAAGTCGTCTAACTAGAAAACAATAACTAACTATGGCATCACCCTCGCCAGATATCGTGGCGCAAATTGCTTTTGCTGTGCGATAAATCCAATCCGATATTTTATAATTGCGGATCCTCCCCTTATCGCCGCCGGCGATGAAAGCGCGTCCGCGCCAATGCGAGATACCAAAGTGCCACATTTACGTAACTGAACGTTAATGCAATTTGAAGGAAGGATTGTGGTGGAAAAAAGTTGACATCCATTCGGGTAAATACGAGAATCTGGGAAACTTACATTGACGCAGTCGTGCGCCCGATCGTCAGCCGCAAAGCACAGATCCAGAGGGAGGGCTCGGACGATTGTTACTCTCGTGGCACGCAATTTGCGCAGACTGACTTTGCGAAATCGCGTGGCGGCGCAAAAGTACAAAAAAGGCGTAAAAAACGGCTTCTCAATGATATATATATAAACTTTATGCTTCTATGCAGTCCAAATCTTGCACCAACGAGTCGATCAAAAGCGAGTCATTAGAGATGGTCTCGTACAAGTAAATTCCAAAGAAACATGCACATCCCTTCGATCGTTAGTAATTTTAGTACGTCGCAGGTGAGAATAGAGTTGACGACAATCGATTCGACTTCCTTGCCGCGAATTGTGTGTATCGCCACTTTGGTGACCGCGCGAAAGCGAGGAATCTGCTTCTGGTGGGTTTGCCGTCAACTTTATTCGAATTTTCTCGGCACGTGGGGTTGCAGTGATCGATTCAGGTGTCTTGTGTAGGTGAGTTACGTGGAGAGTTTTTTCGATTGTCGTGATAACGCCGAAAGGATGGTTCATCTTGCAAGAGAAACTTGTGCGAAAGTATTGTCAAGATTGTAATGTGTAATGTGTGTTTAATCGCTTTGTATATGAGAGAAAAAGATGAGTAGTTGGGAGGTAGGTAGATAGGTAGGTAGGGAAAAAGAGAGAGAGAGAGAGAGAGAGAGAGAGAAACAGAGAAAGGAGAAGTAATTAATAGAGAAAAAAAAAACTTGTGATTGCGGTGATGATTTTAATCGTTTTTGGTGTGAAAACGGTGTAGTAGACTGTAATCCATACTTAATTAATAGTTAAAAAAAGAGACACGTCAGTGAGAGGATCTCTTGTGTGTATATGTGTCAACTAACCTCGTCCTTGTCCAAGCCGAGCTACGGAAATGTTAAACTGAGGTTAAAATTCGTTTCTTTCACACATCGTGAGGATAATTTTTTTTTATAGTCTTAACTTTCCAGATTGTTTCGTTCTCTCGCTCGAGGTAGCGGTGTCGCAAGAGTTAGATAGACTCGCGTCACAAATTGCCGAGACAGATGTTCTCACTAATTCTCTCGCTAATTACAAACCGGCTAATCGGATACGACACCTCGGTCTTATCTTCTTTTTTATTCTGAGGGAACGCGGACAAATCAAAGATATAATCGCAAACGGAGTCATTTTAACGTTCTCCTTAACGCATATAATGATCTCTCTGTCAGCTTACAGAAATTCTCTGATTTCATCGGTTACGCTCGGTGGTAAATCGCACCACAGATCGAGGGAGAGACAAATCAAGATATCAACTCATGAGAGATAGAGAGAAAGAGAGAGAATCCAAAAGAATCGAAACGAATGAACGGAAACACGACGAAAAAGAAAACAGTAGAAGAGAATCTTCGACGAGGATCTGATAATAGTCTAATACTTTGACAATCAGAGCAGAAATTTTCACAGCGACAGACTATATTTACTTACATATTTATGAAGAGTGTATGCATATACGTGTGCGTACAGGTACGAGTCGGTTTGAGAGACAAAGGGACTATTCGTCATGTCGCTGCGCGACATTAAATTGACATTAAACATCGCTCGGCTGCGCTCGGCTCGTATACCTCGTGTGTTTAGCCCTTAACGTTCCCGCGTGTGTATAATTGAGGATCGCGGGGCCGAATGACTCGACGACGACGTACATACGTGTAGCACACGCTCAACATAGTGTACAATCGTCCCGGACAGCGAGAAGCCCGATTGAACCCTCGCGCGTCCGTACGTACATTGTGTGCACATTAAAAACGACGACTCGACTAACTCTCGACAAAGGAAAAGAAAATCATTCAACACCGAGAAGTGTCGAAAAAATAGGGAGAAACGAACTAAGCACCAGTCCGGTAAAGTCACATCTATGGGCACGTAACTTGGGCTCGGCATGTCATCCTAATCATATTTACCAACTAACACCGACATTCTAGAAAATTCGCCCGACGATCCGCGAGAGTCACCTCTTATGTGTCATGCGATCAATTATGTGTCATTTTTGACGTGGTTCATACAGATTCATATTCACTTTTATCGATAAAAGTAGTTTCAGGTAATTCCTGATTGGCCGAGAAGCCACATTTTTAAGAAGTAAGAACTTTCCGCCAAATTCTTCCAAACTTGAGCGCAAGGTTTACGTGACAAGAGAAGAAAAAAAAAACAGAAGGAGAAAAATGACACTTCTCTAATTCTTCTATTAATACAGCGGTTTACTTGTTTGCAACATTTGACGCGACTAGACGCGACGGATTAACGAGTAAAACGTGACTCTCGCGAACGCTAAATCTGGCTTTGAAGAAAGGTGTCTAAAGGAATGCAAAGCGTGCGACGAAACTTACCTCGTCAGTGTCCGAACCGACGAGTAGAAGGTCGAAGGGAATAGCGGCTACCAGGTCGATTACGAACCAACCCTTCAGGTAATGGACGGCTATCTTTCCAGGATGGGACACCACCTCATCGTTGCTATTGACGAAGGTCGTGCGAAAATTGATGATGATGTCGATTATGAAGGTGACATCGACTGAAAGAAACATCAGAAAGGTTTCTCTGTACTGAATTCTGAATCGTCGATGCGTCTCGAATTTCTACACTATGTCAGTAGACTGTATCACATCGAGTCTACAATTGCGTCTTCTGAAATTTCGTTGAAGCTACGATCGACCTTTGGAGTCGGAGTAACGGGCGAGATAGCATCTTCCAGAACTGTCCTCGCATACGGACGTTTCTCCGATTTCTTCTCCATTCGTTCTATTTTCGCGCTATTGTCTCTTTATTCGCTCTATTGTTCCGGACCATCGTGACACATGTTATCCCGTGTCCTAGCTACGTCGTATGAAACGTTACACGGCGGTGTTCACGCGTCGATATCAAATTTAAAACCGAGCACTCTTCGTGAGCTTTTAATATAACGTTAAATAGACTTAACCGCGCTTCGTGAGATGCTCCGATTTTATTCCCCGAGAGGAAAAGAGATGCAAGATTAATGAACCGAACGACTAAAATAAAACGACGTCGTTCTCGTCTTTCCTTTCTTAATTACGTTCACAGCGAGAGTAATTTGCGAAAGTAGTGAGCGACTCACCTATGAAGTCTATAATGACGATGGGATCGTCACTGTACTTCTTGTTCTTCCTGCTATTGTAATCCGGATCCGACAGAACGAAGGCGGCGACGTACGGCGTGAATATGGCGGTGTACATCACGAGTATCAATATCACCCAGTCCCAGACCGCCTTGAACGGTGAGTAGTGTAGTATGGTCCACTTGTGGATTCTGGGAGATTGTAATTTGTACTCTGGGAGGACGTCTGCTCCGAGGGACAGTACCTACGACATGCCGGATTGAAATTATGAAACAGGTCGACACTCCGTTCGCGTTTCCTCCCTCTGAAGAGCCGAGAATAACAATCTGTCGCGCGGAATAAAGATCTGTTTCACGAGCTGGAAATATATTCCGAAAGTAACGCGAGGAATCCCCCGACGAAGAGTCGCGCGCTGTGTAAATTTAATACGTCCTGCACGTATGCGCTTGAGAAGCGGATAACGGCGCATGGTTTTCCATCGACACGTCGGTTTCACACGGCTGTAACTGCGAGCCCACGGTTCCGTTAACAAACACCCTTATGATGCGGCGACACGCTTAACGTCGTCGCGCGCTGAGAACTACTCGCCGAGTGTTTCACGTGCACCGAGCGAGTTTCGAACATCGCCCACCCAGAGAGGGGGAAGGCCACCACACACTGCAAATCCAAGTGTGTAATTTTACATACTTGTGAGTGTAAAATCACTTTTAACGTATTTGTACGCGTGTTGCTACTATAATTTTGCACTCTCTACAGTTCAATCAGTACATATCATCATGAAGAAGCAGTCAATAGTTATAATAATCATAGTTATAGCAACGCAAATCAGTAAAATTTCGTTGCAAAAATCTGTTAATAGCAACAATTGTTTCCATCGGAGAAATCTAACTGCGGAAACGGTGAAAAAAGATATTATTTATTACTTCTATTTTGTTATTTTAATCCCATTCTTAAAGTAAGTTACACTAAGGTCTCTGATTTTGCCTGAAATATTATTAATTACATTTAATTGATTTAGTTTATATCGTATTTGAAAAACACGCTTATCTTGATGGGGGGGACTCGAACATAAAACCTTGAATCTTAGCTCTTGAATCTACTACTAAAGCCCATGTTCTGAACTCTCTTTTATCGATAAAAGTGTCTCAAATGTGGCTTCTCGGCCAATCAGGAATCACCTGATTCTTAAACTACTTTTAAAGGCACTTTTATCGATAAAAGTGAGTTTAGAATATGAACCTATATGAACCACCACATGAGCCAAATATGACACATGGCATATGTACATATATTTCTTATGTACAATACGATATATGTACATATATTTCTTATATACGAGATATGTACATATATTTCTTATGTACATATATGTACATATATTACAAGTCGCATAACAATGATTTGCAGTGAATCTTTCGCTGGCCAAAATCAGTGAAGTATCAGACAAAACGGCAAAATGGAAGTGGTTTCACTAAAAAATGAGTTAATACTCCCTGATTATCGATAGAATACCGTTTCACTGATTCAATTAGTGATATTTTTACTGATTCAACTTAAGAGAGCACACATAAATGTATGAAAATTATACACTTAGATTTGTATATGCAGTGTAATTTTTACGTACTTACGTATATATGTAATCATAATAGTAACACGCGTACAAATGCGTAAAAAGTGACTACATAGTTTTACATACATAAGTTTTACATAAGTTTAGGAGACCTTTACATAAGTAGAGGAGACCGGTTGTCACACTTTTTACAAATTAATTAAAAGAATATCTTGTATGCAATATCTCATAATATTGTGTATATTATAGTGTAACCACATCCTTTAGGTAAAAGAAAAAATATATAATCTTATATATATTTATGCACAAAGAAGTTATTTAATTGTAAACAAGGTCACACGAATGTGACATCTTACCTCATACTATGTCAATTATTATATGTTTTATGTAGAGAAAACAAACAGGACGTCCATTGGATGTCGTGTACTGTTTGGGAAAATACCAGCTACACTATAAAAAAAGAGTATTTTTCTTTATTTATTACTTGAGATATAAGCTTTGTGACTTCTAGACCCGGTCTCCCCTATGTAAAATTATACACTTGGATTTGCAATGAAACGGAAAATGGTCGAGAATGTTTGCTGACCTGTCTAGCACAGAAGCGTTTCGAGTTACTTATTGGACTCTCTGCCATTTAAGACACGCACGTTCACAGAAAGATCGATCAGACGAAGAAGAAGGAGATGAGGACTGATGATGAAAAAGAGTTGAGACGAGTCAATGCCGTGAAAGTGGCTTTGCACCGTGAAGTTTCCCGCGCATCCGAGCCGACGCGAGTCCAGTCGCACGGAGAACGAAAACGCGAAAACGCACACGACGCCTCGAGTCACCACATCGTCCCGCAGGTTCTCGGGAACATCGCGTCTCCAATTCGGCGAGGATGTATTCGTCACTAGTTATCCCTGCCTTTTCCCGTCTGTGTTCACTGTTGCTCGATACACGCGAGGGATTGCATCGACAAGTGGCCGCGGACGAGCTTAAACCGGTTTCGCGCTCGAAAGGCGGCTGAAGCGCTCAGTCGTAATCCGCAACGATTCCTCCGGAACGTTGTGTTATGCCATGATAACGGGCGCGTAATAATCGTGCGGCGTCATTCGCGCGCGTCGTTTCCCGATGACGAGGAAGCGACAACGCGGGAACTGCACGAGGGAACAATCGTTTGCGAATTCGCGACGCCAAGAGAAAGAGAGAGTACAGTCGTAAACACCGTAAACGAGAACACCACTCTATCGACCACCGGATGGAAATTCCAAGCCTCTCCGCAGGTCTCCACGCGTCGTCGGCCGGGACAGGTCGACAGCCCGGAACAGTGCGATATTTCGAGTTATCGATTCCGCCACCGCTCGCGTTACTCGCGGCTCCGAAACGGAAATGCTTGTTTACGAGCGGCCTCGACAAAACGTGGGAAGAACCGGAAGAGTACTGGCCGAGCGCTAGCTTAACACTGATGCAATGCGGCTCGACGAAGGGAGGCGTCCGTTCGATTGGCTCGTGCGAGAACGTGTGGGTTACAGGGTCACACCCTTAGCCAGCATATTTCGTTCGGTCTGAAAGTATCGGCCGCAAAGTAAGCCCTATCACACCGAGAGTCATCGGTCGTCTGCTCGCGAATCAGCGGAGGACGAAGAGAAAGCAGGAGCAGGAGGTCGATAACGACAAACCGCGCCGAAGAGGCTCGTAACGCGAACTGACGATCCTACTACGGGGAAAGTCGCGCAGTTTGCTCCTCCCCCCCCCCCCCCC